GTATTCTAAGGCTATCAAATCCTAATTATGTACAATCATTATACATACACTTAGCAACAATAGTAATAATGTCAGTTTTGTATAACATAATACAGCACCCATCCTAGGCTATAAGGCATCACAGATGTCAGACAATTCTAACATGCAATTCCTGAAGGGATCCTTAGCCTATCCACCAGCATACATTTATAACAGTTCACATATCAGCAAGCTCAAATTCAACATACATAACTAGTATGAATATTTTGGGAATCACTTTCCTATTCGGGCTCCAGTTAACTATATGCATCACATCTTCTGGTTAAAACCATAGTCGAGTCAGAGATTCATCTTCATGACCCCAGGCCAACAATCAAACAAGAACATCACAAGACACCGGGCCCATGTCTCTGATCCAACCGTTTTCTTAATATCATTTTTTTCGAAAACATTTTGTGAAAATTCTCGGATCCTAGTTTGTGTTTGGATTCACACAAGTGTTCCTCCAAATCCATAAAACCAGGGCTTTGATACCAAGTTGCAACGTCCCATTTCCACAAACAAAATTTTCTTTTTTAATTAAGGTAAAACATTATTTTCATAAAATCCAGGTTAAGAAAATTCATTTGTTCAAATTACAATTATGAAAAAACCGATGATATATAAGTTAAATGCGGAACTCCAATGTTGTTGTTGAATGTGTACAATCATGCCTTCTCCTTCCAACGATCATCAAAGGTACCTGAAAAACATTTAATCCACAACTGTAAGCCAAAGCTTAGTGAGTTTACCCAAAATACCACACACCACTAAATACATAAAATGTATGCATACATGAGACTCCAGTCTGACTGGACCGCCTTGCAATGCCTATAGAAAACCTAGACCGCTCTATAGTATCGACCTTTAGTCCATAACTGGCCCGCCTCCCCTGCCTACAACATACATTTGGTCTGCACCTGGCCTACATTACACCGCTTGCCCGCCTGGGTATCTTGGCCTACTGCACAAAGTAGGATTGCCTCTGCCTCAACTCACCACCAGATATATCGACACATAAAATCAGACAAGCAATCAAACAAAAATAAACACAAGTATACTTGTCTATCAAGATACTACCGCATACAGGGTCTTATACAGTACACTACTCCAGAACCGGAAGATCACTAATGAATGCATATCTATATGTAATCAAAGGTGAGATGGACAGTCGAACAATTGATCCCACTCTAAAGCCACAACCAAACAAGGAACATGCAAGAAAGCCTAGATTAAGAGTTCTCAAGCTATCCTATGTGACTTCATACAAACCTTAGGGCACTCCACTAGATGATCACCGACCTACTGGTACTCTGACCAGTATATCACTACTCTTATATCCTATCATGCAAGGATATATAATGTAACACATAGTATAGTGAGGAAACTCACTTGAATCAAAGACCCAAGGAAGCACAACAACACCCTCATTCCCTCCACCAATCACTCCCGCGAACCGACTATCACCGCATAAAGATACATCCTTAATCAATAACCTAAGTCCTTCAAGTTTGAACCAAAGTCAAACAAGTCAAAAGTTAAAGGTCAATGGTCAACAAATGTCAACAGTAAACCAAGTCAATGCTCACCACGATGTGGAGATATCCTAGCCACGTCGTGGACATGTCAAGACAAAACAGTCGGCATGCAGGACACCACCATGTCGTGGCAAGCCCTTAGCCACATCGTGGTTCCTGGCAGAATGCATATTCTTCATTAAGTGCTTAATCCTTACAATCTAAACCCATGACTTCAAATCTGGTCCTTTTCAATGACTTAATGGATAATGTTTCCAAATTTATCCATTAGGACTTCACCATAAGACAATATATACAAACTTAAGTCCATGAAGTCCTTAATGAGAACAAAACTTGAGGATGGACACAAGGTAGCTCCAAACATAACTCCTTTCTCAGTTCTCAGAAATCTAATGACCATTATAGAGCCATCAACAAGCTCTGGAGGTCCTTAAACTCCCAAAGCATCCAAGAAAAGAACCAAAATCCTCTAAAATGAACTTAAACTTGAAACAAGAAGAATAAGGGCCAAGGTGAACTTTATACCTCAAATAGCTCAGAAACCAGAAGATGATGATGGATCCGAACCAGCTCCTTTCTTCCTTGTGCCAATGTGAACTTCCTTCTTCCTCAAGCTTCACCAAAATCCAAAGAATAAGCTCTAAATCAAGAAAAAAAAAAGCTCTCAAACATGCATGGAGGCTAGGGTTTCGTGTTGGAGGGTTGGAGGCTGAGGAGGATGCCCTAATCTATGAGTTAAGACCTTTAAATATGAAGAAAACCCTAAAAATCATGGGCTTTAGGCTGCAACAGTTGCCACATCGTGACATCCCTCTTGCCACGTCGTGGTGTCCATTAGGATACGCTTTCCTTATAATTGACTTACCACATCCATACACCACGTTGTGGTACAAAGTTTTTCCCAAAAACCATACCTTTGATCCCTCAATGTCCTCAACAGATATATTCTGGAAAACGGGTGGTACACGGTTAAAACAAGTTTCGAACACTCAAAAATTATTTCAAATATTATGGTTGAATCAATTTGTATGCACTTTTTGGCTTCTTCATTGAATGATATTGATATTTACCCAATACATTACGAGAATTATGTTTTACAAAAAACATCGCACCTTGATATTTTTTTATGTTATTGGTTTAGTGTCTTCATTTTTGTATTTAGTTTTACAAATCATCTATTTTTTCTCTCTTTTTTGTATTTGGCAGGTTGTGAAAACTAATATGAAATAGGTACTACGAAGTTTATAGCATTAAAGAGCTGTGTAGACACCGAAGTGTATCGCTCTTTTGTGAAAGCCAATGATCTTTTATGATAATTGAACAAAACCAACTCACTTTATATATTGATTTTCTCTACTTTCTACATACAATGGACCATGTTTTAGATGAAGTTTTCAAGTTTTAGCATGTATGAATATGAACTTTTTTAATAAAAAAGAGTTGCACCTTTGTTTCCAAAATGTATGTCGTATTTGAGTTCGATAGTCGATACACCATGGATTTTAATAAAAGGCATCGCTTGTCTTTTTTACCAGGGGCATGAAAAACCAATGGATCAGCCATGTTCGTAATGACCAGAATAGAGTAAGGGAGATATGAGAGGTAAAAAAACATAATGGTCCTCATGTGAGGACATGCGTTTGAGCTAATGGCTGAATTTAAATGAGAGTTAAATGCAATTACCAAAACCTACAACAAAACATACCTATAAAAATATTCTATACACAATTAAAATTTTATGGATTTGAATGACAATTACTTTATGTATATGAACGATAATTTTTTAAAAAACATTAAAGCAAATTTGCAGTGAAATGGAGAACATAGAAGAAAAAACGATGTAATTCTATTCCACATAGTTAGAAAGAACAACAATATTGTTGGTCTAATGTAGGGATGAGAGTGAGTCCAAACCTGGACCGGTAGACCCGGACCCGGAAAACCCGAGAACCGGTTAATGAGATTTTGTAGGACCGGAAACCAGACCGGTATATAGGAACCGATTCCAGTTCGGTTCTGGGTAAGGTACCGGGTAAAATGGATCTAGAACCGGAAAACCTGGGAAAACCACAATTTTTTTGGCAATTACTTAGTGGTGAACTTTGAAAATTTTCAACTTTGATATCCCAATTTCGGGGGACTATAAGTCATTGAATATTAAATCAAAAATGACAAAACTATAGTCTAAAATCATGTACAAACTCTAAAATACACATTGCAAAAACCCTCATGGTAATTCGACTTCAAACGAATTAGATATGCGTGTTTTAAAATTTTACAAAGTACAAAAATAAAGCTGAAAAACAGAAAATTCGCAGCTTTGATATCCTGACTTTGGTAGATTATAAATCAATGAATATGAAACCAAAATGACAAAATTATAGTTTAAAATCATGTACAAACTCTATACTACACTTTAGAAAAAAACCGCATGCTATTCTGACTTCAAACGAATTAGATATACATGTTTTAAAACTATCACTGAATACAAAAAAAACTGAAAAACATAAAATTTCCAGCTTTGATATCCCAATTTTGAGAGACTGTAAGTCAATGAATATAAATCCAAAAATGACAAATTATAGTCTAAAATCATGTACAAACTATAAACTACACTCTGGAAAACATCTCAAGTCAATCCGACTTCAAATGAATGAGATATGCATGTTTTAAACTATCACAGAATAAAAAAAAAACTGAAAAACATAAATTTTCCAGCTTTGATATCCCGAATTTGAGAGATGGTAAGTCAATGAAAATAAACCCAAAAATGACAAAATTATAGTCTAAAATCATGTACAAACTATAAACTACACTCTATAAAAAACCTCATGCCAATCCAACTTCAAACGAATGAGTTATGCATGTTTTAAACTTTTTACAGAAACCGATTCCGACCCCTAAAACCGGTTCTGGTTCCTAACACGGTTCCGGTTCTTAAACCCGGTTTACCCGGACTCGAAGGACCCGAAACCTGGATTACCTGGAACCTGGATAGAGCCATTCTTTAAACCCGGGACCCGGACCGGTTTTACATATTTAAGTTCTAACGGTTCCGGTTCCGGTTCTGGTCCGATTCAGGTTCCGGTCCGATTTTCCGGTTCTAAATCTCATCCCTAGTCTAATGTGTCGTATATACTATGAGATGGTCTAATGTGTCGTATATACTATGAGATGGTCTAATGGTCTAAATCTCATCCTAGTCTAATGTGTCGTATATACTATGAGATGGTCTAATGTGTCGTATATACTATGAGATGGTCTAATGGTCTAAATCTCATCCTAGTCTAATGTGTCGTATATACTATGAGATGGTCTAATGTGTCGTATATACTATGAGATGGTCTAATGTGTCATAATGTATACTAGGGGATAGGTTTTGCAAATTTCAATAGGGCAAGGGTATAACAAGTGCATGTTCTCCTTTTTGTTCAATCCAAATCGGTTCACAGCGCGATAATAATATAACCCGGAGTTTCGACGGAGTTCTGACGTTGCCGACTGCTACTGACACTACAGAGATCTCCGGAGGTGTAATTAGGCAAAAATGTTCAACAACAGTGTATCGATTCCGGTGACGGACGACCTGCCGGATGAATTCGGCGGCAAGATGCGGTCCAGACCACGAAGAAAGCGCAGAAAATCGGAGTTCCGAGGAAAAAGCGAGTTAGCTAACCGAACTTGCAAGCAGCTAACGAGATGGTGGCCGGTTTTGCTATTTGTTGCAGCAGTGTTACTTCTTGTTTTTGAGGCTTCGAAACTTGGCTGGAGATCGAGTACGATCAAATCGGACCTTGATACTCGTGAAAAGAAACCTAATGTAGTAGTATCCCCGGTTAAGAAATCGGAGGGGAACTTGAATCGTCTAGACGCTCCACGTAAGTCACTCACAAGATCTTCTCTTCTAACATTTGAATTTCTTTTTTTGTGATTGTATTTGATTTGATTGGACTATAAGCTGTTTTTCCCTTTTGTTTCGATTGTTATCTTCAATTAGTGATATAGATAATCCATGATAAAGATCAATGATTAAATTCTGAAAGTCTTAAGTTAATGGCGATGACCTTATTCTGATTTCTGACTAGTATTGCAACAGATTGGAAGGACATTTCTATTCACTTTATGACAAGCTTTCATATATGGTATCAGGTTGCTTGAAGCTCCTACCTCCTGAAGAACTTGAGCATCTGGATTTCCCTCATGATAAAGATTCATTTGTTCCTATCAAGAAAGTAGTATATATCTCAGAGAATGACATTGAAACACCTTTTGATAAAAATTCTCAACAGGAGATGGGGATCATCACAAGGTTTAACCAATTTACTGGTTACCAAACCCTAAATCAGAGAGATCAAAGTTTCAAGGTTTTTAGCCTCTATTCACCTCACTACTAAATTTTGATTCCTTCCATATAACCTTAAAAAAGCTTATGAATAAGTGGTATAACAGGTGAATGAAACTGCATGTGTACACTGTGGTTTCTACAGTGAGGTTGGAGGTTTTACAATCTCAAAAGAAGACAAAAGTTTCATGTATTCATGCAAAAGTGTAGTTTCCACTTGCACATTTGGTGGTGGAGATGATCTTTATCAACCAATTGGAATGTCAGATGCCTCACTTCAAAAGGTCTGTAATCTGCATATCAAAATTGTATTAATTTATGAGTCCTTAATTCTAATGATCTCACACTCACAGATAGGTGTACACAGGTCTGCTATGTAGCATTTTGGGACGAAACTACCCTTGCAACACAGGAAGCACAAGGACATGTATTTAATAAAGATGGTTTTATTGGGAAATGGCGGATTGTGATTGTTAGAAATCTCCCCTTCAGAGATCAGAGATTAAATGGAAAAATCCCAAAGGTAAGGGTAAAATGGTCATTTAACATTAACACACTTTACTGAATACTAATTAAGTGTAATAATAATGTTGATCAGATGTTGGCACATCGTCTGTTTCCTAACGCAAGATATTCAATATGGGTAGATTCAAAATCCCAATTTAGGAGAGATCCATTAGGGGTATTTGAGTCACTTTTATGGCGTTCAAAATCTGTGTTTGCAATTTCTGAACATGGGGCCCGCAGTAGCGTGTATGATGAGGCAAAAGCTGTTGTCAAAAAAAACAAAGCCACCCCTGAAGAAGTGGAAATACAAATTACCCAATATATCCTTGATGGCCTCCCTCAAGATAAAAGATTTAATGGCAAGAAAGGTAATTATCATATATATATATATATATATATATATATATATATATATATATATATATATATATGTTTCTTCCGTAATACACATGGTTTACTGTGTTTGATGCACATTGGACTGATGTGAGACAAAAATTGCAATTTTTTATCCATCAAAAATTAATTTTTTGTCTCACCCAAAAAGATGTAGTCTTTGTGGGACCCGGCAATGCAAGAAAAGGCGAGACAAAGATGTTAATGTTGTGTAGTTTTATTTATTTGTGCAGCTTTAAATGAGGCGTCTGTGATTGTAAGAGAGCATACTTCAGTGACTAATTTATTTATGTGTCTTTGGTTCAATGAGGTGGTTCGATTTACTTCGCGTGATCAGCTTAGTTTCCCATATGTTCTTTGGAGAGTAAAAGTGTTGAAAAATATAAATATGTTTCCGGTTTGTATACGTAAAGATCTTGTGAATAGCATGGGGCATTTACGTAAGGCCAAGCCTTTAGGTGGTTGATGCAAGTTATTGTTTTTTGTTGAACACACGTGTGAAATAGCTGTTTTTGCTTTTAGTATTTATTATTATTATTATTATTATTATTTGTAAACTATGAATAGTTGGTATATCTTTTGCTATTTTTTAAGGCTTGTGTAACAATTTTCATAATTGATTAAGAGTTCCTATTCTTTAAATGCTCAAACGGGTAGAACAAGTTTTGCTCCTTATTTGATTAAACACTCGTAATGAATTAATGAGTTAAGCCAAAAAAATGTGGTTTGATGTATTGATATACCAGCACTTTACCTATTTAGCCTTCTTATTTTTCCTACTACCTTACAGAATTGATAGTTAATGGTTATAAATATTGTGAATTTTTTTAATGTAAGAATAAATTAATTATTTGTTTTCATTCAAATTGTTTATTTAGTTTTAAAAAAGAAGCATGTTTTATGTATTTAAACATTTTTATCTGGACAAATATCATTACTTATTTAATAATTTTGCAAATATAGGACAATGGTCTAAAAAACACACCCCTTTACTAATTGTAAATGAAACAATTAGAATGAAACATGAATGGAATTAGGATCTTTAATTAAAATGAACTTCTAAGATGCGTCACAGAATGTGTAACATTCAACTCAAATGTGAGGAACGGACGCCTTATTGCACCATACCCTAAAATGTCACATGAATTTATGGATTTAAGTAATTGTAAATATACTTTACTATTAAGTTTTCCTAAATATTTCTATATTTCAATAACCCAAGTAGAATCAAGAACAGTAGAACACACTTGATTCTTCACAATTGAGATTTTATAAAAGTGAAAACACTCAACAATCATCACAATTGAGATCTCATCTCGCGTTAGGTGCTACCCAAACAAGACTGTCGACATACTCCACGATTCTATTTGCACCAAATCTTCCAGGACAATATTTCTCCAAGTTTTTAGCCTTGTCTGCAACTGGATGATACAAAACAAGATGACAATCATCATCTTCAATAAGAAGCTCATTGCGTGATGTGAATCCAAATAAACATGCATTATCACTAAACCGTGAGAAGACATGGCATTTGACCCATGACTCAGCCACCCCATACTCCTCCATCACCCACACCTCACATACACCATCACTCACCCATGTCACAAAGCAAAGATTCCCTCCCAAAACTCCTAAAGAATACGGCCCATAGTATTCTAGTATAGCATCCGGAAGAGGCATCTCAATGAACGTCTCTAACCCCAAATCAAATGCCACTATCGTCTGTCTGTCGATCACCATCTTCACCAATATAACCAAGCCAATGAAGACGTCCGTCATGCCCATCTACACAGACGCCTTCGGGTTCAAAAATCTCTGCGATACACGATGGAAACCTTTGAGTGATGAACTCCCACGAACCTTTTCTCATACTGTAAACTTCAACTTGCAACCACTTTTTTACAGGATAGGGTAAAATTTTAGGGCGTAAGTTGCGTGGTCCTGTAAGGCCTATAAGTTTAACTACTTTGTAATCATCGGTTTTCGGATCAAACCCAAACCGAAAAAAGACTTCGTAACTACCGCGTGATGGTATATAATGCGGAGGGAGAGTTGACACTGCGGTGAGAGAAGGATTCCAAATGTGAATTACACCCATCACCGTAATGCGACCATATTAAGCCATGAAGGGAGCCAATGACTTTGATGAATCTAGGAGTATATATAGAATGGGGATTAACCGGAGAGGGAGGGGGTTTGACGAAATTAGGGAGTTTAGATTGGGGAAATAGAGATGGGTGTTCTGACAATTGTATAGGGTCAGGAGATAAATTGTTGTGGTGGAAAACCAAGAGAATTCGATCGTTGTTAGTGATGGAATGATGGAGGTGGGATTTTATTAATGAGGATTGAGATAAGAGGGCATTCCAAGATTTGGAGATAGATCTCATTTAAGCAACCTGTTTTGACAACAAGCGGATGAGTATGTTTAATAAAACATCACCAGGGAGATTGTCCAGTGTCGTTGGGTATTGTGGTGAAGCTATTGATGTTTTTGGATCTTGTTCATTGACATTAGAAATGCTAGCGGAACTCTCACCTTGATTTGATACTCCACTTGAATTCTTCGGTTCATGAAATCAAAAGTGCATAGAGGTTACAATGGTTTCACTTCAGACAAAATTTATCACTTTATGAGCAATTACGTGCATCGATAAAAACACTTGCAAGTCCCAAGAAATAATAGATTATAGAGTAAATTACAGGGATGGTCCCTATGGTTTAGGGTAATCTGCACGTTTGGTCTCTAACTTATTTTTTAACTCGAAAGGTCCCTATAGTTTGTTTTTGTTGCGCTTGGTCCCTGTCTTACCTAAAATGACTGTTTTGCCCTTGATTTTTTAATTTATTTAAATAAGGTGGGGTAGGTAAGGTAAGGTGGAAGTGGAGTTCGTGGTGTGTTTATTTAAATAAATTAAAAAATCAAGGACAATATAGTCTTTTTACGTAAAACAGAGACCAAACGCGCAACAAAAACAAACAATACGGACCTTTCGGGTTAAAAAAATAAGTTAGAGACCAAACGTGCAAATTACCCCAAACCATAGGGACCATTCGTGTAATTTACTCTAGATTATATTTGTTCATCTCATTTCAAGTAAAGGGTTATCCGAGTTCGAGAACACCGCTCACTATTAGAAACAAGATATAGCATATATCGTAAAACCAAAAATAAATATTCCTATTTATATTCTCTCTTAACTAAAATTAGCAAAATTCAAATGAGAACTTTTTGATTAGAATGATATGTGAAAACCAAAGTCCAAAGGAAGTTTGGAAAAACTTAAATGATAATTATCGACACCATAGACTGCATTCTAAGATGTGAAGTACACAGGAAACTTACATTTTTCCTTGACTCCTGAGAAACATTTCGTGGTTCTTCATTAATCTCTGGTCACATAAGAGCTTTTGTAAGGGGCATGTACGTCATAAGCAGAAATTCAAGTGAAGTAACACAAAAGCTATCATCAGACACAAATATTGTCGCTTATCAATTATTACAAGACTATGATTGTGTTTTAGAGAATTGATATATATTTTGAGAATTACTCGTAACATTTTAGTTTTCAGCTATTTCCTCATTAAAGAGTCATATGCATCCTCCACTTCTCTACTGTAATCTCAAAATTATCTCATCAAAACAAACAATTTGAACACATGTTGCCCTTTCTTTAAGGCTCGTGCACAATCAAAACTAACAATTTAAACATATTTAGCAATCCTCAAAGGTTTAAGAATCCAAATTAGCACATAAACAGCAAGAATGTTGAACCTGGAAGGAAAGACCTCTTAAGGGACTTGTCATCGTCTCCGCTGCTTTCGTGGGGAGCCCTTCCGTCGCCTGCCGTCGCCATAGGGGGAATCTGGAGCTATCGAGGAGATGAATCGCGTAAACAGAGAAAGTAAAGCGAAAGGTGGGGAGAAATGGAGTGTCAAATTGAAGGGGTTTTGGTCGTCCACTAGAAATGTACACTAGCAATTACAAATTGAGGTTTTTTTTTTTTTTTTTTTTTTTTTTTTTTTTTTTTGTAAAACAATTTTGACCTCAAACAAAAAGTGATATTGAAAAAAAAAGGTCTAGCTATTTTTTTAATAATTCTTTTAAATTGTGTTCTCAATTTTTATTTTTTTTGTTTATTTTATAAGAGAAAGGGGAAGAAATGAGATGATTGAAAGGGAAAAAAATGTTCTCAGGTTTTTTTAGGAGAAAAAAAATAAGGAGAGGATCGAGAAGGAAATGGAAGAAGGAAACAATATGATGTTTGTATCAACTCATTTTTTAGCGGATTAGGAAGGAAATGAAAAAAAAAGGATTGGTTTTACCTTTGGTCATTTAATGTCAGCACCTTCATTCAAGGATGTGTTTGTCATTTTACAAGAATCTCTCTCTTTTCCTTTCTTTTCCCCTCTTTAATTTTTAATCTTAAGAACACAATGTTATAAAATAGGCAAAAAAAAAAAAAAAAAAAATTAAAGAGTCGTTTGGCAGGATTTAAGATTTCTAAATTTTCAATATTTGAAATCATATCCACAATAACATTAAAATCTAGTTGACCCTCTTTTGGTTCATCCAGATTCCGTGGAACATAAGTTTGAATTGCATTCAAGCCAAAGATAAATATGTTTTCATATAAATTCTATTTTACATTTTAGTTATAAGTAATTTTTATAGTGTTGTAACATCCTTTTCGAGAAGTTCTTATTTCAGGATTGTGGACAATAAATAAATCAAATGGAGACCTTGGGCTTCAATGGAATGGAGTTTAGACTCTATTCGAGGTATATGATGTTGGACAAGTGATTTAAAATGGAAGTCGGGGGGTGATATTGCCATATTTATACATATTTTTAGGCAATATCTTAGTACATTTTATTTAATATTTTGGTTATTTTGCAAAGATATATGATACTTATTGGACTAAATTGTATTTTGCAGCCAAAAGGAACACTCTCGAAGAATATGGACCAGAATTGACAAGCATTGGAACTTTGGAGGATTGAAGATTAAAAGAAAAAGATTTTAGCTGAAAAAACCAAGCTCACGAAGCGAGGGATCAATTCTCACGACGTGAGGAGGGTATTCTAGAAGATTAGCATACGGGAAGTCATAATCCTTGTCCAATACGGATAACTACTGAGCTCACGACGTGAGACACCAATTCTCATGACGTGAGCAACGTTTTTTCCAAAACTATAAATATTCCTTCACTCTTACGATTTGAGAAGGCTTTTGGAGAGTTTTTTGGAGGAGAGGTATTTTGAGATATCGATTTTAGAGTCCAGAAAGTGCACAAAACATTCTTTTGAAGGAGATTTGCTTAGAGATTAAGAGATTAAAGAACACATCATCACATTGGTTTGGTTTACTTTAATCATGTCAATTTATGTTGACATTGTGTTTATGTTTTCAGCCATGAGTAGCTGAACTCACTAGCTTTCGTTTAGCCAGATGATACTTTGACTCTATGGTTTAGTTATCTAATTTATGGATTTTAATAGTTGGTTTTGTGCTTATGTTTGATTATCATTACCTAGCATGTTAAAGTTATGATTTTGTTGCTTGAATTCAAGTTAAGTGTAGCTTAGTGACCATTAAATTACATGAAGTTGATTACCTGGTGATTTAGTGACCATTAAATTGCTAGAGATAGGATCGACCAAATCTTAGAAAAGTAATAAAAGTAACAAATTTAGCTGTGCTAGAGAACATAAATTGTGACCATAATTGTGTTTGTTTAGATAAATTTTACATAGCTCATCTATAATTAATAACTAATTATGTGTTTTGCTTATGTATGACCATACAATGTAGTTCATGAATTGGTGAAAATATTACTAAATTTGGACTTGAATTGCTAATAACATAACAATTGGTAACCAACTTTAATAATCCATACTTAGTAACTAACCAAAGGGAAAAGGTGGATTCGAACTAAACGAAAGTGTTTTTAGTATATTGACTAAAATCGTTAGTTAAGCGTTTAAGTTTGTCTGAACTTGTAAAATCAGATATAAAAACCCCTTTTAACTTTTGCTTGTTCTAGGTTAATTTTTAGTAATTATTTTAGTTAATTAAATCTGTTCCCTGAGTTCGACCCCAACTTACTTTACTATACTATAATCCGACTAGGTGTACTGCCTATAAGTGCAATAGTAGATAACTAGTTAGGATACAAATTTAAAAACAGATAGATATAGTCTGCACCATATCAGGGGTGTAAAATGGGAAAGGTTATGTTTCGAGCTTCTTGCATAAATTAAGGATTTTAGTTCGAAATGTTTTTAGTCATAAGTATCAAGATAAAATCGTAGAGCTCGTCAATACCTTTTTGTAGATACAAAGATCATCGAAAACATAGTTGAAACGAAGAAGTTATGGTTATTTGAAGTTAAGCTGGAAAAAGGGAGTCTGGCAGTACGGTGAGCGTACACTAGCCAGTACGCTCGGCGTACTAAGCTGAAGGAATGCATTTTTAGGGCGTTACGTTGGGCGTACCGCCGCAAAGTAAAAATCCTATTTTCATGGTTTTGAGCCTTATTTAAGGTCTCTAACCCCTTGGGTGTCCTTCCTATCATGAGCCTCCACCCTCTTGAGCCTCTAACTTGAAACCCTAGCATCCTCCTACTTATTTTCAGCCTTGACATCATTTACGAGCTTATTTCTCCATTATAAGGTGGGATCTTGAAGAACAAGGTGGTGGCAAAGTGTATGGAATAAGGATTCAAGCATAGATCCAACAAGATTACATCATTTCTGGACCTTTGTGAGTAAAAAGCTTCAA